CCATTACATCTCAATAAATGTAGAGCAATAAGAAGTGAAGTTGCAAAGCCAATCTTTGCTCTAATAAACACATCGAGACGGCGTGACCTTTATAACTTTAAGCATTCGTTAGCAAACGGCTGATTAACGGTTTGAGCTCATTCAAAATTCACCTGGAGATAATTAAACGCGCGTTTGGCAAGCTGACATCGGAGCCGGGCCCTTCCCTCGTCCAATCGGAGCCTCCGACGCTTTGCATTGCTAATCATCGCTGGCCTCACTTATGAATAACTAATATCTCATTTTCCTTATCAAATACTGAATCGCGGTTACGTTATTTCGTCTTTTGTGCCTGCTTAATTAACGTTCCGCGAATTGTGGAAACATGATTTTAATTAATTATTCCATTATAATTAATTTTCAAATACAGTACGTGTATTTTTCGTTTGAAAGTTCTTAAGATGTTAAGGTAATTTCCCTGAACTTGTGAGAGGTTCCAAATTTCGAAGTAGATATTTAGTTAAAAACACTTTATTTTTTGTAATTTTTTTTTCTAAGCTAAGATCAAAAGTACCTAGTATTTTAACTTAAATAATAACTTTTCGACGACTAATTTGCCAGTTTCTAATTAACTTCTTCAATCTTTGGACATACTTCCCACGCTTAAGAAAATTGTCTACCTCCCCGATACATTGCATCTTCTTTTGAAAATATTTAAAACGATATTTCCTTTATAGTAAACCTTATTGCAAAATTAAACGCTCTGCTGTGGGCACGTTTCATTATGTGTTCAAAACGAAATTTAATTGAATATTGCCCGGCGAACGCTCCTTACGACGGAATATCGGCAAATTCGCTTACATTATCTCCTTTGTGCTTCGGTAATAAGTTCTATTACAACTACATAACCGAGGCGCTTTCCCACAAAATTTTAACGTAAAAAGGAAATTATATTATATGGACTTATTATTTGGCTCATGTGAAATACAAAGGTACGAGGTGTTAGAGTGTCACGATCCTAAGCTGGTTAATTTCGATTTTAAATGTATGACAACTGATTATTATTAGCGGCGGTCACTTCCAGTGTACAATTCACACAAATGAGTTAAAATCTCACTTTTTGAACTATTTTAATGTTCAATGTTTTATTAAAAATAATTTAGCGCTGATGGCCTAACTAATATGAACAATACAAAAAAAGATCACTGCACACGTGTGCACGCTTTTTAGTTTTAAAAATATGTTTTTTATCAGTCCTTGTCTACAATTCGGATTATTTAGTGTGCTGGATCATACTAAGACCTGTTACCGTGTTATAACTTATCTATAGTTCTTATTTAATAGATTGATGAATAAGCCTTCAAAGCCGATGACTTCAGAAAAAGTAAGAGCAATGTTAAAATTAATATAAAGTTAAGTTAAAGTTAATATAAAAGTTTAAGAGGGAGGTGAGGTAACGAAACCCAATGAGTGCTGTATTGCAACTGATTGAATAATTTAACATAATGTTCGAATATATTACACGGACATTAAATGTTTAAGGGCTAACCTAGAAATTTTGTTTTTAATAATCACGAGAATATGCCTTGAGACAGATTATTATTAATGATAGGCATGCTATAAAAATACTAACCAATAAGAAACGATGTACCGTTTACCGGTTAAAAGTAAGTTCTTCAGTCGAATACGCTAATATATGTCTCTTGCACGTTAAATAAGAATTGCAAACTGTCAAAGGTTTAAGTCACTATCTCCCGAGTCTCGGAATATCTCAGAAAAGGACAAGTTAAGCGCCCCAGTTGCGCTCGCAATCTCGTCCCAGATTTGAACGCGATGCGAGTCCTTCTTAAATATTTTAAATGTTCGCGGAAAAGTTTCCTTCGTCTCGGGAATTATTAAACAGCCCCATCGAGCTCCACATACGCGGGTAATTAGGAATAATACTTCTGAGAGATTTGGGCCGACGGAATTTATGAGACGCCCCCCTTGCCTCGTTATGTATTACGTTTCAATTCGAAACACATAATTACGGTATACTTACGTAAATATGATACATTACGTAATATTATGGTACATATAATGTTACACGACCTAAACAATGATATTTTTGATAGTGTTTAAGAGTATCAACTGCTTTTTCAATGAGGAAATAACAATTTATATAAAAAAAATACTGCCATGTATTACGTTAAATTTTTTACCCGTTTTATTCGGGTTATTTTTTTAGTTGAAAGTTCTAGATAAATTAATAACAAAGTAGATTGTAAAAAAATGTAATTAATATAAAACATATTCAAAATATATAAAAACATAATTAAACACAATAATCAAATTCTGTTAGAGCAATATTAAGCACTGCTACCGGAATTAATTTAAGCACAAGACGATATTCTATGAAGTCTAAGCTAACATTTGCGGAAATCCCGAGTGCTGAGCAGAAGTGTTCCAAGAATCTGTCCGAACGTGGAATTCGGAGCACTGACAACTGGCTTCTATCGCAATTATAATATGGCAAGTTATCTATACTAATATATATAGTTTGTTTAAACGCGCTAATATCAGGAAATACTCGTTCGAATTGAAAAAATCTTTTTGAGTTGGCTATAACATTTATCGAGGAAAGCTATAAAACATCGCGATGCAACTTATAGAAGCGAAGAAACAGCGGGAAATGTGGAAAAGCGGGGAATTATTCATCCTTGTTGTGTATGTCTATATTTTAAAATGAACTAGCCAGAACGATACGACGCAGACGATATCACGGTTAAAAGCTTAAATTTATAGAATTGAACATGAGGTTCGCTAGCACAAAATGTTGACGCCCAAAATAACTATTCTACGCGGACGAAGTCGCTGATCACACAGCTATTTGTAAATAGTTTAACAAATATATTTTACGTTTTAAACCGTTAAAATTGTTTAAGTAAGTGTACCACTCGCATAAACTAAAGGCAGCGCATTGATAGTATATCTGGGTCAATATTTAAAAGTATATACATTTAAATCTACTACCGTTGCACTGTGCAGCTGTGTGGCTAGAACATAAGTAGGCCAATTATTATCTGTGTCGAACATTCGATAAGATCCACTCTCAGCCAATTAAGATGGCATCTGCTGAGCTTATTAGCTGAATATTTGAAGCGTCGAACCAGCTCGTTGATTGGATAGTTGTAATTAATAATATTGAAAATGCTACGGTGAATGCATCGTTCGTGAAATTCGCATTGTTAATTTAAATTACCAATTATTACTACCTCATACTCTGATAATTGTTTAATTTCACAGTTGCAGTTATAGTAGGTTATTCGTACATTAGCCAAAATCTTTAAGATAAACCAAATCTAGCTTCACAGCTTACATCAGAAATGAGAACGAAATGGGCGCATGTCGAACTTGTGTAATATTAAATTAAATAGTAGCTGACCTGGCAAACATTACTTTGCCATATGAGGTAAACTGACCAAAATTTGATTACTACAAAAAGAGTTCTTGTGAGTTAATCTTAAAAGACAGAAATAAACTGTCACGGACATTTTTGGGATTATGTAAAGAGACACATATTTTTTGGGTATCTTGAACCGTTTTCGCAGCGCACGCAACGGAACCCCTGTAATTTTCCCAGTTCTTTCCACATTTCCCACTTTTTCTTATTAGTTGCAGCATAACATTTCATAGCCTAAAACCTCCCTCAATAAATGTTCCAAATAAAACTATAATATTTTTTCAATTCAAACTTATAGTACCCGAGATTAGAGCGTTCAAACAAACAAACTTTATAATATTAGTATAAATATAAAAAGCTACGAGGGAATAAAAAAGTATTCACGATAATATTACCCAAATTAGAAGGTTGAATACGGAAAATGTTATGATTGCCGGTTAAAGAAAATCATAACTTCCCTTACAGGCTATCTGTTGAAAAGAAAACATGTTTGCAATTGAATGAGAATTCAAAACTCGCGAACAAGCCCGACGGCTCACAACTTTTAACGACACAGTTAAAAGTCTTAACAAATCGAGGCGCCAAAGACGCGTCCGAAGCGGGACACCCGTTGTTGTGAAGTCTAAGACCACCTCGTTACCACTAACAGCTGTCCACGACAGCTCTCACAGTATTGTGTAAGATCGGATTTGTGCATGTCTTGCAAAGAATTGCAGACTGAGAACTTGTATTAAATACTGGCAGAGGCTTATCAAAAGAGTTTAAATTCATTCTAATGATTCAGCGGTCATTTAAAAACTTGGTTTAACAAAGCATTAATATATGAAACCTAATCAAGATTAGAAAACATTACAATATGATTATTATGCCACTAGAAAACTTACACGTAAAACGGAACTACATAGCTAATGCCTAAGAATAACACACTTGTATATAATCCATAACGAGTTAGAGAAAAAGATCATATAAATAAAACACTTTTAACCGTTTAAAACGCGAAATACATTAGTTAAATTGTTTTAATACGGTTTAACGTTTCGGCAGCTGCGGTCACGGGGGTACACATCGTGTGTACTACTCCCGTAAACTACAGACAATACTCAGAGCATTGTATACTGATTTTTTACAATAGACAAATGGAGTACAGGACTGGACGATTCTAAGATTTCACGATAAAACGTGGAAAACGAGCGTTAAATGTAGTCGTAACAAAAAATATCATCATACTAATACCTCCGTCTCTTGAAAAGTTTCAACGCAGTTCCGCAGCACTCGGAAGGCATTACGTCCCCACAAAACGCGGGGAAATAAAATAATTCAAGGTAAAAATATCTTCCTTCCAGCAAATACATTTGCATTAGCGTGGCTGTGGTCGTGTCATATCCATCGCAATTTAGAGATGAGAGAAAAATACGAAACACGAGTGCGTTCGCCCACTTTTCGCCACTTTTTCCCCGCTGTTGCTACATAATACATTCATACACAGGCGTGAATGGACTTGGAATAATAGGCACTAATAAGTCATTGATACCACTTATTTTGATAGGTTCAAAAATTAAAATTATTAATCTAATAAAATTTAAAATAGACTCACCGCCTCCGTATGTATAGGGTGGACAGCAAAAAGCAAAGCAGCGAGAGCAGCGAACGGTCGCTGCAGGCGCGCCACTACAGCGCCAGTTCTCGCGACCAGCACGCAGCAGGCAGCGTGCAGCAGCACATTCACAGCGTGCCACCACCATGCTGATACACCGCAGAGCATATAGTTCAGTCTGAAAAAGTTATATCATTGCGTACATAATTTACGATTTTAATAAGTTTGATTTGACTTTAGTATTTTTCATTATGGCACTAGATAAATGCAAAATCGATCATAGATTGAAAAAAATGTACGACACGGGCAGGACGGTATCTACTGCGTTCCGTTTTGTTGTTCTTACCAATCGGTTTTATAGTAAATGGTTAAAAAAATTTAACTGTCTAAATACACGTTTGTTAGATTTATATGATATAGCATTTGAATTCGAAAAATAACAAAACACACTAATATCGTATGACAACCTTTAAAAAATATTACTTTTGTAGAGCTTTCTGGTTTGTAAATATATATTTAAATTTAATTATCTGGAATTCTTCCGTATCATGCGCCTTATATAGATAAGACGATTGGCATTCCAGTATGGACTTGCCGATATTCAATGTAGGACCCGTCGTGCTCCCTGAGCGAAGGACGTGCCCTACAAACACTGTACGTAGTATCGAATTCATGAATGTATCACGCGAGTGTCGTGTTACGTTCGCTATCGGAGGTAAGGTGTATTTTTCCGTTCGCGCAGTCGCATGCCGTAAATAAGTGCGCGATAAACGGCCTAAGACAGTGGTGGAATGCCGCGTCCTATATACATTCGAGAAACAGGGATGTACAGGTTTCGATTATATAACTTACCGGGACGAATTAGAGAGCGTAAGATTAAATTAAGTACTCGGAGGACAGACAAGCAAGGGGTTCGCTTGATGGAAGAAAAAATACCCCAGTCATAAAACATTACAACGAGACGCGCTGTCAAACCTATTTTGGCTTTGGAAATTCGGAAATCCACACTTTAAAAAAATTATAACACTGTATATGGTGGTTCGTAATCCCGATGAGTTTTTGATATTGTCATGTTATTTCTAGGCGAAATTACGATATTTTATATATATTAGATAAAAAAACTTGATGACACTGGTGGAGATCTAACCTACGACCCGTTGATCCGTCGCATTATTTATTGTCGGCCCAATGTATTGTTTTGTTTTTCCGTATAGCTTCGGATGCGGTTACCGGCGTCCGGCGCATCACTAGTGAGTGGCGCTTTAAGGCGTCTAAATGTAGCATTGTCTCATGTAATAGTTCCGCTGCGGTTCCGACGAAATGAGAATTTTTGAGACGGAATTCCTACGAGCGTAATTGTCCTAAATCTCGTGCGAAATGTTTGCGAGAGCTCTGAAGAATACCCACCCTCGACCCATATATACTTGTAATTATTTTGAAAGCGTTTCAAATTTCAACTATTGTAAATGAAGCTGAGAAGACCTGCTTTCACCCTTTTTTGTTTCAGGAGAGGATACGTAAAATGTGAAGGCTAATATTGCTATACTTTTTAAAATTTAGCTCTGGTATCTTTCAAAACCTCTGAAAATAAATCCTCTGATTATAAAGTAATTTAATTCTTATTTATTAAATTTTAAGTGAAACAGTCTTCCTTTTTGTAAAGATCAAAAGTTCCTTTCTTACATTTTAGTGTCTTTGGATATTTTATAAATAGTATTTCGTGTTTTGGTTGCCTATAGAACGTAACAAATTTTGTAATCTTTAAAATAATTTTATTCAATGCAGTTTTTTGCGCTTTAAGCTTCGTTTAGCACAAGAGTGTTAATCGAGTTGAGAGTTCAAACAACATTCAATAAATAATTATATGATGGAATGTGCAAATTCATTCATCTTTTTTATGAATCTAGCAAAGGTACAAAATAATTATGAATTTAACATCGCTTGTAAACTTAAATGTATTCAAAGCATAAAACTCGAATAAGCAATAAATAAATATACGTTATAATATGCATGTCATCTTGAGATAGATCTGAGGATATGTATACCTTGAGACTTGGGAGTGATGTACGGCCCGCGGGCGAGACAAGCCCCTCGTATCGGCTGACAGTTACGTCGCCTCCCCCCACTCCCCCTTTCTACGTGATACACTTTATAAATGGTTTACTTCATACAAATAACACATAAGAAAAGCTGAAGAGCTATTTGATATATAACATAAAATATTAATAATCTTAGAATGATATTTTTTCGTTATTCGCAGGATTGTTGCTTATCGTGCAAACCTTGTTTGATAGTTAATTATTGTGTGTAGTTTACGCTAGTTGTACTTATTTCAATAAAAAACCTCTGAAACGTTGCACAGTAGGTAAAATAAATTGTACAAAAATTTATCTAGTATAATTCGCCTTTTACACTGTTAAAAGTGTTTTAATGCAAACGGTCAATCGAAAATTCGGGTTAATGTAGCTGACACGAAAGCGAGTAAACAAAATATGTTTATCCCAAAAGAAATCAGAAACCAGGAGTTCGAAACCTTCGATGTGAGACTATAAGGCAAAATATTAGAATATTTATGTTGTAAAAGCGAGAGCACCCAACCATTACTGAAAACGCTTCACGGCCTCGAGTTCACTTATTCTGCGCGGTGGCTTCATCGAGCTTAAGCGGCGCTTCCAGGGCGCAGTCGAGATGGCAGGATAACGCAACGAATAAGATAAGCCGTGTTAATCAAAACCGCATCGGATGAGAAGCACCTCCGCCGCTCATAAATTCCGCGCGAGACAAGCTAATACATCAAAATGCTCGCTTGATTGAGTAACTGGCGACTCAGCGAGAGAATCCGCCACTATACAACGATTTCTATACAATGCGTCCACACTTACACGGAAGAATTTTTTTGAATGAACTACAAGTTTGACTCTGGAAATATTTCAATGTGTTTGCACTACTTTGCAGGTACACTTTGTTACTCATTAGTTCTGAAAGATGCCAAAAGTCTGTTAGCTAAAAGTGTTTACATCAATTAAAGAAGTACGTTAGAAAACCCGGCATACTGATCGCTGATTTTCACCCTGGACCTTTTTACACCATTTAATGTACACCGCTGTAAATGCTTTTCTATCTTATTTAACGTCAACTATCTAGTTATAATTCGAGTATATCTAATCAGGTGTGGTTTTAAGCTAAATAATGCATATTTGAAACAGCAGTGAAACTAAATATAAACCGACCCGGAGCCGAAGCGACCCACTAACTCAATGTAAAATTATGAATACGACTACGAAACGGGAGCATGGAAATAATTTCACATAATTATGTGTACTTGATATCAAAATAATCACGAGGTTTATAGAAATATTTTTCATAGCAAAACTTCTGTGGAAATTTTACGTACGCCTATTTATTTCACATTAATTCAGTTTTAAAATAAAATATTTTATTTTTACTAATGGTAATCTGTATTTATGAAGCTAACTGAAAAGATATTATAACATACAAAGCTTACTTAAAACCGAATTTTTAAAGCTTTTGAAGATTAAAGATATACAGTATATTACAAAATTTTCTTTTAAAGCACTAATTTTTTTTTGTTGTTTTGTTACATTAATAATAGATTAATTATTATTAACTTTGTACGATTAAACTTTATTTGTCGTGTCTACATATTTATAAGCTTAATATTTAAGATTTTTTTTATGTTATGCTATTTATACCATGTCTGTATAATAAAACTTAGTTTTGTGGACCTTTTAAATAAAAATATATATATTAATTTAAGTTTTAGCACAGATACATTAAGTTAAGTCATTTATTTCAGTTGTATTTAATTTAAAAATAGTTGTTTCTTAAAAAACATTGTCAGATAATAAACGTATAAATGTATTTGAAAAATACACCTTTAGTATATAGGCATAGTCTTATAAACGATTTGCGATTTACAGAATCACTGTTTGACGTAAATCAAAAGATTCACAGCTCTCAATTGAACAAAAACTCAAATTGTTACAGAAATAACAAAGTGAGAAACAAGGCATTCGTAAATTTAAAGTGAATCGATACTTCGACGAGTGAATTTAAATAAGTTCGAAGGAAAGAGGTTCAAATGAAAAATAGAAAAACTTAGCCAACAATAATATTTGTGAAGGGAAAAATTCTCAAGATGGGCCCGGGTTGAGAGTTCTTTAAGTAATAGTTAGGTTAACGCTAAAAGGAACTTTTCATTTTTAAACGTTCCCTGTGATTTAATATTAATCTTGGGAATTCCGCAAATTGGCTTTCAGAATTCACAACGATGACGTAATTGATATTAATTTTACTAGACTAACTATTATGAGTCGTCAAATTATGAGGTCCTTAAAGAATTAATGTGAAACATGTGCCTATTTAACCAAACTATATTCCAAGAAATAACCATTACGAAAATCCCATGACAGACGGAGCTGCAATGAAGATGAGTGCCTACCTCTCAAATACAAGACAATAAAATAAACGTCAAAGGGGGTCGTAAGGGAGAGGTATGTAGGAAACAGAAGCAAATTTTCATAGCCAACAAAACAGAGGTGAATGAAATTCAGGCGGAATACGGTAAATAAAATTTTATTAGGTACCTACGGGAGGCATCCTTAAATTTTTGAGATACTCGAATATCATTGTAGCAGATGTTAGAAGAGACTTTGTTATTTTCCTCTACTTTAGGATATATTAAATTGTATTCGAGACTATAATATTCTCGAAACATTTGTCTTCGCTCGTGAAACGAATTCAGTACAAATCTCACGAGGTATTATAATGTCTATGTCTCTTTACAAAATGATTTTCGATGTATACTAATAATGTCAACATTTGACACAAGATATTTCAATCTGCTTTTATTTTCAAATGCAAGAACCGAGCCGTTAAGAAACTGAAATACTAATAACAACGGCTTAACGTAGTATTAATGACATTTATTTACTATCAAGAAAATACAGAAAAATACTAATAAAAAACCATGTATGAAAACAAAACAAATTCCGAATCCGAGAATTACCTAAAGAAGCGTACTCGGGACCACCAAAGTCGGTTAATTGTTGAACTCCGGGTTGTCTAGAGGGTAGTCATCGATCTTTATAACCCGCGAGATGTAATTAAAACTTCGTTTGCTCATTTAAGTTGTTTAAATTAACTTCACAAACTACTCTGCTTAGAAAATCTGCCGTTTCCGGGCTGCACTTTTGTTTATATTAAACATCTGCGCGGGGACAAAAGTTAATTCGGTTTTATTTCTTTTTGTTTTTAATTAGAATACTTGTTAGTCTAAAAAGTGGATTCGGGATTTTCATATATAAAATCGTTCCAAATGACATAGTTCCATGCTGTTATGAAGTAAATTCGCATTTTAAAGTAAAATCCCGAATTCCTCCTGGGACTTGGGACGAAAGCCTTAACTGATCGGTACAGACACGTAACTGATCAGATTTCTCTGCTTTACTCTACTGAATCAATCTATTGTTTCCCCGGGATTCAAAATAAGGAATCTTGCGCCTAACGCAATAGACAACAGTTTAACAGTTTAGCTACAAAGCTACATATTTGTAATTTTATATTTACAATAAGTCAAATATCTTTTTAATGATAAGATAAAATGGGGCATTCATATTCTTGAGCGGTTTGATTGAGTGCTTATTTTAGTTCA